TCTACTTTTTGTTGATTTCAAGTCGATGGCTTTAGGCCAGTACTCAGCGGAATACATCATCCACATATCGAAATAATCTGAAACAATATAATATATAGCCGTTATTAAAGGGATAAATATGGGTCAAGTTATACTTAACAATAAAACTGTAGAAATTCTTAATGAAATAATGTGTATACTATATGTAATTAAAAGTAAAAAAATATTTAGAGTGGCTCCACCACAGATGAATTAATTGATTGCTGGCCAACTAAATCGAATCTTATATGGGATCTAGTAGTTGATCCATAACACGGCACTTCCCCTAAGTAGACCAACGCATATTGGCCGGCAGTAGCATTAATCGTAGCAATGATTTCAGGTGGCATTATTTCAAAAATGCGCCTCGACAACCAACACTGGAAAAGCTCAAGTGAAAGCCGATCAATTAAATGAATAAGTAAACATTTACCATATCTTGTATTTTTGACAAATATCGCCCTAATAATATAAAGTTGACCTACAACTAATTATTTTAATTCCCGCTGATCCAATATTGTGGGCCATTTACCAACTAACTTATTTAGCATATCTATCTGAGCTTGAGCCATGGTAGAATACAATAAATATTTTTTTACCTGTATAACACACACACAATGCTACACTTGGTTATTATTTGGAACTTCTAAACACGATTAAAGCTTACAATTTTAAACTGATTTAATTTGGAAATGGGCGCTATTATATACCCTCTCTAAAAATTCCCACCTCTCCTATGCTATTCATAATATACAAGTTTGAATATGCGCGAAGGGTGGGGTTCTACCCCTTCCATCAATGTTCACGTCGCCCGTGTCTGCTGAAGACTAGCGCTTCACTCTAGCTATGGCTGTTGAGAGTCAAGGATGTGTTTAGACATGGACTTATTTTCCTTATGCCACAATAGTAATCACTGAGATGTTTTTAGAATAAAATTATTACATGATATAGATAGTAATTACTATCTAAAAAGTACTTATAGTTCGATGAGTATGGGTACTTACTATGCTCGTTACACATTACGTGATATACATAGTAAATACTCTCTGAGAGGTACTTACACCTACATTACACTACGCAATTACACTATGCAATTACACTTATTACAGTACATGATAGTAATTGGGAGGTACTTGCTAATTGCGCGAAGGGAGGGGGTGGGTACTTAGGATAATTACTAATTACCCAATTATCTCTTTCTGTACTTTTGACCTTGGTCCAGAATTAGCTAATCTCATCTACTTACCTAGATGATTTTATATTGTTGAGAAAATCTTTTGAACAGTCTAAATAAAATATTAAAGAGACTTCATCTCTTTTAACAACATTAGGTTTTATAATTAACATGGAGAAGAGTAACCTCAATCCATCCACTAGCTGCAATTTCTTAGGGTTTAACTTTAATTCGACACTTATGGCTATGTCTCTTACCGAAAAAAAGGGGTTAAAGATTTTACGTTTGCTCAATTCTTTCCTAGAAATGTATTCCTGTTCAATTAGAGAATTTTCTAGACTAATAGGTGTTCTGGTAGCTGCATGTCCAGCAATCAAATATGGCTGGGTTTACATTAAAATCCTAGAACAAATTAGATTTGTAGCATTAAATAGATCAAATGATTATGAGGCTATAATGATTATACCTAAGTGTGTTAAGTTAGATATTAAATGATGGATTTAAAACATCCCAACAAGTTTTAACTACATCACTACTGAAATATTTTCTGATGCGTCATTATCAGGTTGGTAGGCAGTACATAAGAACCAAAGGATTTAGAACAGCTGGACACACCATATAATATCGAGAGCTGCCTATTTTGCTTTAAGATGTTTTGTAAACGAAGAGAAATATTGTAATATCCTTCTCAGAATTGATAACACCACGGCTATATAATTTATAAACAAAAAGGGGGGCATACGCTACCTCAAGCTCAACACTTTAGCAAGAACAATATGGCAGTGATGTGAAACTCGTGGTATTTCCATATTTGCTTTTTATATAAGTTCAACAGATAATTTTGAAGCAGACTTTGACTCTGGGAGGTTTTCAGAGACTGAGTGGGAACTAAATAATGAGGCGTTTAAAAGAATATACGGTGGGGTTGAAACTTTTGTTGAAGTTTTGTATGTCAGAGGGAAAAATCCTTTCACGGGTGATATTTTTAAGGTTTTAAAATTTTTACAAGAACGGTTCCAAGAGGGATCAACGTACGGGTCATTAAATAACTACAGATCAGTACTTTCTCTGATTTTGACATTGGGCATTTCTGTGGACTTTAGGATCAAAAGGTTTGTAAAAGCGTTAGTAACCTAAGAACTTATCTGCCGAGGTACGACTCAACTTGGAACCCATTAATGGTACTGAATACCTTCAGAGATTGGTGTTCCAATCGTGAACTTCCTCTAAAGGAAATATTAGAAAAATTAGTAACACTATTGGCTTTAGTTACTGTACATAGAATGCAAACCTTTAGCCTTATTAGATTGGAGAATATTTGTAGAACTCCAGATGGCTTCTCAATAAAGATTTCTAATAAGATTAAGTCATCAAGTAGAAACAGACTCCATATAATAATAATAATAGTTTATTATTTGCCAATAAAGGATGTACAAAAATACAAAATATAAAAAAAAACAAAAATACACTAAATATACTAATTAGGCAAATAAAAGGTCGAGTGATAGGTCATAAGACCAATTCTACCTCACTCGCCTTGAAAAAAATAAATAAGTAAAATAAAGAGTAAAAATACATATACATATCTAGAATAATTCAAAAATACAGTCAAAAGAATAATTAACTAGTGAAAGGAACCTTAATCTATATTAATAAATATTAAAAATCACAAAAAAAGACTTAAAATTTAAAATGTCTGTTCGCGTAAAAAAATTTGTTTGTATTTATTTTTAAAAGCTGTTAATGAAAGACTGAAATTTGGTATATCAAGAAGATGACTGTTCAATGCAATTTGGTAGCTAAATGATTTTTTGAATATTTGTTTATTATGAGATGGAATGGTAATGGCATTCTTTTTTCTTAAATTAATATGATGGACGTCGGTCCGAAAACTTATCTTTTGATGTAAGTATGAGGGAATTTTGGTCTTAACTATTTTATAAAATAAACAAAGAGAATGAAGTTTCCGACGATTGAACATGTTCAGCCAATTCGCCTCTTTTAATTTATAAGAAATCCTCTCCCTTCTCCTTATGCCATAGATCATCCTTAAACAACTATTTTGTACTTTCTGAATTCGATTCTTATCAATTAATCGTAAAAAAAGAACCATATACCGTGTCGCAATGATTAAAGTGCGATAAAACAAGAGAATCAGTAAGCATTTGTTTAGTTGCAGTAGACAAATCTGTTCTATGTGGATAAATTAGTTTTAGAGAAGAGTAGGCTTTCCTAACCTTCTCGTTAATATGTTTATCAAACCTTAATTGAGAGTCAATAGTCAAACCAAGATTTTTACACGAGGAACTAATTTTTAAAATTTCATTCCCTAAGGTGATTTGTATTTGTGGCAAGATCAGCTGTCGGTTATTTTCACTGCAAAATACAATAACATAACATTTTTTTGAGTTGATATGCAATGAGTGTTTTTCAGATGCACTTACAAGAATAGAGAGATCGTCATTAATACGCTTGACCGACTCTTCAATTTTAGACAGTTCAAAAGAATAATAAATTTGTGTATCATCAGCATATAAATGGCTCTTACAATGATTTAGATGTGAATGTAGGAAGGATGTATATAAGGTGTACAGTAATGGGCAAAGAATGATGCCCTGAGGAACACCTTTTCTGACTAACAAACAATTAGAGAAAGTGTTGTTAAGAACCACCTGTTGAACGCGGTTTGTTAGTTACGAAGTTATAATTTTGATCGACAAATGGCTGAGACGAATAAAATGCAAAATTGCTAATGTTTAACTCTTCCCTTCTTTGATAGGGATCCTAATATTTGCCCTGGGAGAACATTAGACTCATACATAGAGCGAACTAAGATCGTTAGAGGATAATCTGTAAAAAACCTTTTTATATCTTATAGAAAACCTTTTAATTCAGTCTCCGCTCAGACTTTAAGTCATTGGGTAAAGGGAACACTAAAAAAATGCGGGGTTGATACGAACATCTTTCATGCTCACAGTACAAGACATGCTGCGATGTCAGTAGGGTTAAATAAAGGACTGAACTTAGATATTATAAGGTCCACAGCAGGTTGGCCAAGTGAATCTTCGTGATTCGCTAAGTTTTATAATCGGCCTTAAGGCAGGATCCCATTTCTTTTGCTGAGACCATTCTGATTTAGTTTTTTTGTAGTTAAACTTTCGTTTGTTTTTGTTACAGTTGTAAACTTTTCAATAAAGATTTATTGAAAACTGTGTTGTTTATTGTGGTCGCAACTGTCTTTAAACATCTACATTTACTTATGATGTGAAGAAGGGAGCGCAGTGTATAATTATATGCCCATGCGCAACCCTAACTGGTCATCAATGGGATTTTCCTGTTTATTCTTTTTAGATAGATATTCAAATCATATGGTAAACTTTATATAATTAAATATAAGTATTTCAATATTATTAGTCAAATTTAAATTTTTTGTTATAATTAAAGAAAAATTAAATAAACGATTATTATAAAATAGGTTGCATAAAGTAGATCATTTTGACACTTGCTGCAATTACAAAAGATGTCACTTTATCATGTCGACATTAGAAAAATATGTTTGTCAAAGAAGATACATTAAATTTGGGAGTGCACATATGCACTTATTGCGGAACCGCCACTGGACTGTATGTGATAACTTTTATTCTAAGCTTTAGATAAAAGGAATTTTAAATAAAACATATCTAAATCAATCATATTCGTTGCAATAAATGTAGACCTTGGTTCAGTTCATCTCAGTTCCGTTCAATCAAAATTCAACTACTGATTTTTCTAACAATAACCAAATTTATTGACACAGTTTCCATATCGCGAGCGCAGAGCGCACGCAGTCGCAGCTACACCGTAGAAGCGAGCCTGCCTGTAAAACGTCCGTCGCGTCGTCTGTTGAACGGAACACGATCGCTATATCAAAATAATTCGCGGTCCGCGGCTGCCTCTGTTGCAGCTCGAAGTGCATTGCACGACGACGGAAAATAATTGACGATCAAAACATTTAACTGAACAATTTTGTCATCGAGTAACTGAGTCGCTACGGTAACTCGATAACCCTGCGGTATAACAAGTGATTATCAAATATTCGAGTTGTTTCCTTCAGCGTCCTTTTTTACCGTTTTACGTTAACTGTATTTTGAAGTGCGAGCAACAGTGTTAAGTGAACCAAGAAAATTCAGTTTTTATTATGGTAAGTCGATTTAATCGAAACATTTTTCAAAAATTGTTAGTTTAGGTAGAATTTTTCGATAGCGATGAGTGATGACAAAGTAGTACAAAGAAATTGGGGCAGGTGAAAATCGTTAATAAAACGCAGTGCTAAATGCATGCGATTTTAATGAAAATCCGGTTTACTTTTGTTTTCAATAAATTTGTTTCTGTATGTAAGTCAAGAGTTGAGTCACGGAAGTGTCCACTCCCTCTTGTGTAAGGGTAGGTTTGGGGTTTCCATTGTTTACATTATGGTTTTGGGAACAACATGCAAAATAATGATCTGTGAACTTTTATTTTAGATTATTGTGTAGTAATTGTTCTTTGGATTTTATAAGGATCAAATTTGGATCATCTACTTTTTATTTATAATTATAAATTAAGAGGAGTATTTTTTTTTTCAAATTTCAATTCAATTTATTCAAATTCAAATAGTAATAAAGTACAAATAATAATAATATTTTAAGATTAATATAGATTACAAAAAATCTAGAATTAGCAACAAGCATAAGCAAAAGCTGCCTGTGTTGCTTGTGCTGATTCTAAAAGATTTGAAATAAAACGTACATTTTATATTTTAGTGCCTAAGTAGGTATAAAAATAAGTAGGATACAATTTTTTTTTAGATTGAGTACATAGCCAGAACGAAGCAGACGAGGGTTATCCAGGAGTTATTCCAACATTTAATACAAATAGTTAACAACAAATTTCAATTTTAAATCAGGTATAGCTTACAACATTATAGCAGTAAATGTGATTTGGTTATCTATTATATATTTTTTAATATTTTGTTTGAATATAGATAGTTTACTTTTTTGTTTGAGATGTATGGGGATTAGATTGTAGAACTTGGGTTAAAGATTTTTTAAAAAGTTGAGTAGAAAGGTCCATATTTGTAGTAGAGCGAGTCAATCGAGTTTGTTTATATTGAAATAGTTCAGGGCTATTTATATACTTTTATGATACATTGGTAGATAAAGAGTGATTTAATGTTGAGGATTTCGTTTTCATTATATAATCGTATGGTAGTGAATAATTTATCTTTTTTTAATATTATTTTCAAAATTGTGTTTTGTGTTACTTGCAGAGTATTAAGTGTAGTGTTAAAAGCCCCTCCCCATGCCGTAATACAGTATCTTAAAACAGATTCCACTAATGAAGAATATGTCATGATTATTTTTGTCTTAGAGAGAATATCGCGAAGTACATAAAATGTATGCATTAGAGCCCTTATTCGATTACTAACATGAGTGATATGCTCTGTCCAACGTATATATTGGTCTAGTATAACACCTAAATATTTTATGGAAGCGACTTTTTCAATAGTGGGACATTTACTTGGCTTTAGAGCAGAGCATGTAAGGGTTTCACAGTACCCCTCTTTTGAAGTTTATTTTTGACCTATTCTAAAAAAAAAATTATGTACGTGTAGATAAAGGTTAAATCTATGCTTCTCTGGAAAAACTTTTTCAACATTTGAAACCGTTTTTTTTTAAATAAAACTCGACTTTTTTTACCCATTTTCTAAATTTTTTTTAGAAAAAACTAAATCTAATTTTGAAAAAGTGGTTCCAGAGGAGCATAGATTTAACCTTTACCTATACGTAAATATTTTTTTCCTACGACCACTTAGGAAAGTGACACATATCACACTATATAGTCCTATGGAAAGTGCCCTATATCACACGCGTATGAATAAGAATTTACTTTCCACCCGTGTACGATTATGTTACTTTTCACAGTAGCTGTCACAAAATGTCAAACACCTAATTTCTATTTTGATCTATGTAATGTCCATATTAATACTAAAATCGATATGATTGTTAAATTATTGAAATTGTTGTAAATTAGATCCTAGATATTTATCTTTAACAATTATTATTAAAATAATTTTAAAATAATGTTTGCTCTTTTTTCTGGTTAACTACATAACCGATTAGATCATTCAATTGACACAAGGGCTATTGGCTCAGATGGTTAGAACGTCGAACTTATCAACTTTGCCATTTGAGACCTGGCGAAGCCAAATTTTTTTTGTTTTTTTTTTTAGTTTTTTTTTTGTTTAGAAAATATGAAAATTGAATAAATACGATTATTGTTGATTATTTTTTTAAATACATTTTAATTATTATAGTAATAATAACCTGGTTTTACATTTTTTGATGACATTATTTTGGGTATCCAGTCAATTCGTCGCGCGACAATTTATCGCGCGACCTTTCAGAGCCGACAATTCATCGCCACGACTTTTCATCGCTACGACAGTTTATCGCTACGACAATTCATCGCCACAAAAATATCGTATTGTATCTATGATTTATACAGTATGTCTGAAAAACAAACAATTTTTTTTGTGCTATATTGAATTTTTCTTATAAGTACCAAATAAAATTATTTTTTCGAAAAAATTACAAAATATCTTACTCTAAAGTCTAAATTACACAAAAATATGATTTACTTTTTTTCTGCTAATCAAGTAGTTTTTACTAAGAAAAATATAATAAATATCAATAATGTATTATTGATAAGCCAATTTAAAGTGTATAAGCGGCAGTCGCAGGTTCTCAACAGTCCTTTACCTACTATTTAAAAAGGATTATCTTCATTAGCCAATTCGGGTAAGTTACCACATTAGTTAATAATAATAGAGAATTATAATTATCCTTTATTAATCCTTTCAAGGACAAATTCATAGTGCAATCAATATTTAATTCTAAAAAGGATTATCTTCAATAGCTTGTTTGTGTAAGTTAGTATTTTAGATACCAACGAACTGTAATCATTCTTATTTTGCCTTTGTACGAGTTTACATCATTGTAAAATTTGAAAATGCCTTTACAATTTGTTGACAGCGAAAGAGGTCACAAAATGCTTTTATACAATGGCCATACACATTCTAGAGAGGGCGTAATCCTGTCCAAGAAATTCTCAGACAGAATTATTACTAATATTAAAATTCAAGGACAGGAAATTGTAACTAAAAACAGTCTAAAATACCTAGGGTTTATACTAGATAGGAGACTGACGTTCGCAGAACATATTACAAAAAGAATTGGCCTGGCTACAGGGGCAATTAAAACTCTATACCCAATGTTGCACAAAAACAGCGGTGTCACAACAAAAAACAAGTTACTACTATACAAGCAAGTAATCAGGCCAATTCTTACATATGGATGTCCTGTTTTCTGCTCTATGGCTAACACTCATTTTAAAAGGCTACAGTTAGTCCAAAACAAGTGTCTCCGGCTCGCATTGGGGTGCGACTACTATGCAAGAATAACGGACATGCACGAACAAACATCCATGGAACCTATTAAAGAATTCATACTAAAAATATCCGAAAATTTCTTTGAAAAAAGCATACCACCATTCATCAAAGACGATATATTAACAATCCACCAAAATGATGGTGTAAACAGAGTCCATGGATGTTTACATCAAAACTTAAAACTTTACAGACGTCAATAGAGACAGCCCTCAGCTACCGACAGGACGTGGACTGGGCGCTGCTACTAACTAACTCACAGCAGCGAGTATTACACTGAATAAGGCAATCCAGCGACCTGTCAAATTAAATTCAATATGGCCGTTGAGGGCAAACAGTTGATTTGTTGACATTGTTTGTTATACGTTTATAAAAATTTGTCTTGCTTTTAAAAATCGATTTTGCGAATAAAACTTATATCTTTTGAAAATGGAAAGTGAATACTTAAGAAAATTGTTAATAGAATATCCAGATGTAGGCGACAGGTTAGTATAAAATATAAAATATTGTTTGTATACAATTTCAAGGATACATTTTTGTTATAGGTATAAACTTAAGTTAAAGTTGATTTGTGGCTTGGACCCATTTACTATTAGTGAATCACAACTGGATTACACTGTCACTGGAATCCCCCCTGTGAGTACTTTGGACATTGTGGCTTATTTAGTTTTAACCCATAGTTACTACACTATACAACAAATGAAGGCATTGAAGAGTTTACAAGCCTATAAATATTTTGAATCGGGATTTGTTTTAAAAGCTGGTACCAAAATGTTCAACAATTTCTTTGTTCTGGTTGGAAAAGTGAAACATTCACAAAAAAGTGAAAAGCCTCTAAGAACCTGGTGTATAATTGCGAGTGATGGAAGCATTTCAACAGCCCATTGTACATGCATGGCAGGAAACAGCGAAGTATGCAGTCATGTTGGTGCTATTTTATTTGCAGCAGAATATGCAAATAATAAAAAAGTATCAATATCTTGCACTGATGTTTTAGCTACTTGGCCAATGCCTTCCACTTCTGCGAAAGCTCCTGTGGTTCCAATTCATGAAATGAATTGGGGAAAACACCAAGATTTTGAAAGTAAAAGTAATGCAAAGCCGTTGTCTTCAGATGAAGTTAAGGACATGCTAGATATTATTTCAAATTTAGGTCTGACATCTGTTATGATGAGAGTAGAAGAACCTTTTGCAACAAAAATGCAGGAAGAAAGGCTAAAAAAGTTGCCTTCAATTTTTGATATATATCAAGAAATATATATGTCAAAAAGCCATTTAGAATTGATGGAACTATCAAAAAAAATTATTTTAAATATTGATCAACAAACTATTATTGATATCGAGAGTGCAACCAGAAAGCAAAATGCTGTTGATCTGTGGTATGCCCAAAGAGCAGGCAGGATAACTGCATCAAAATTTAAATCAGTCTGCAGGACAAGTACAAAGAAACCATCTTTGTCCTTAATCAAAATGGTGTGCTACCCCACGAAAATTACATTAAGGACTAAAGCAATTTCTTGGGGCCTAAGTCATGAAAAAGATGCAGTTGCAAAATATACAAAACAAATGGAAACAACTCATAAATCTTTTATTGCAAATGAAGTTGGATTGTTAGTGAGTGAGATGTGGCCACAGTTTGGTGCTTCGCCTGATAGATTAGTATATTGTGAATGTTGTTCAGGAGGATGTTTGGAAGTGAAATGTCCATATAGTTT